CTACCACAATACTTGGGTTATCTGTATCATCATCAGATGATGTCTGTCTCTATCTCCCAATTTATCCCTCCCCTCACTTAGTCCCTGGTAACCATAAGTTTGTTTTCTCTTATTTTCTTTTCTGTGAAATTTTTTTCTTAAGTAGTTTCTCTGTATATTACATCTAACATTAAATTTAAATTTGGTAAGTTGAAATACTTGGTAAGTGGGATAGTCATTTAGAGAGCTGTGATTTATCACTTAAAATTTTACTTTGTCGAAACACCTGAAGAGATGTTTTTGTCAGAGTGATTTTTTAAAGAATAAGTTAAATATGCTTCAGAATATCTTATTAACATATAATAATAGAAAGTATCATTCTATTTTAAATGGACTTTATGTCTGAGTTTTTAGTAGGTTTTATGCTGTATTAAAATTATGTATTGCAGTCTTACAAATATGTACAGTATATATTATGAGCCACACATTGATGTCTTTTGTAACTTTTATTTTTATATCTGAAAGTTATTTTCTTTTTATCAACTCAAGAGTCCTCTTATTAGTGGTTGAAAATGAGAATTTTTGTTATCATAATTCAATACCTAGAAAATTGGTTATTTTATATAATAGGATACATAATACAAAATCAGGGATTGGATTTTTAATCATTATGCAAGTTTTATTTTTATAGTAATGACTGAATTAAGATTCAGTTTAGTTCAGTCTCTCAGTCATGTCCGACTCATTGCGACCCCATGGACTGCAGCACGCCAGGCTTCTCTGTCCATCACCAACTCCCAGAGCCTACTCAAACTCATGTCCATCACGTCGGTGATGCCATTCAACCATCTCATCCTGTCATCCCCTTCTCCTCCCACCTTCAGTCTTACCCAGCATGAGGATCTTTTCAAATGAGTCAGTTCTTCACATCAGGTGGCCAAAGTATTGGAGGTTCAGCTTCAGCATCAGTCCTTCCAATGAATATTCAGGACTGATCTCTTTTAGGATGGACTGGTTGGATCTCCTTACAGTCCAAGGGACTCTCAAGAGTCTTTTCCAACACCACAGTTCAAAAGCATCAATTCTTTGGCACTCAGCTTTCTTTATGGTCCAACTCTCACATCCATACAGGACTACTGGAAAAAACATATGTTTGACTAGACAGACCTCTGTTGGCAAAGTAATGTCTCTGTTTTTAAGTATGCTGTCTAGGTTGGTCATAGCTTTTCTTCCAAGGAGCAAGTGTCTTTTAATTTCGTGGCTGCAGTCACCATCTGCAGTGATTTTGGAGCCCCCAGAAATAAAGTCTGTCACTTTTTCCATTGTTTCCTCATCTATTTGCCATAAAGTGTTGGGACCAGATGCCATGTTTTCTGAATGTTGAGTTTTAAGCCAACTTTTTCACTCTCCTCTTTAACTTTCATCAAGAGGCCCTTTAGTTCTCCTTTGCTTTCTGCCTTAAGGGTGGTGTCATCTGCATATTTGAGGTTATTGATATTTCTCCCAACAATCTTGATTCCAACCTGTGCTTCATCCAGCCCAGCATTTCACATGATATACTCTGCATATAAATTTAAATAGATAGGGTGACAACATACAGCCTTGACGTACTCCTTTCTCCATTTGGAACCAGTCTGTTGTCCCATACCCACTTCTAACTGTTGCTCCTTGACCCGCATACAGATTTCTCAGGAGGCAGGTCAGGTGGTCTGGTATTCCCATGTCTTTCAGAATTTTCCACAGTTTATTGTGATCCACACAGTCAAAGGCTTTGGCATAGTCAATAAAGCAAAAGTAGATGTTTTTCTGGAACTCTCTTGCTTTTTCTATGATCCAGCAGATGTTGGCAATTTGATCTCTGGCTCCTCTGCCTTTTCTAAATCCAGCTTGAACATCTGGAAGTTCATGGTTCCTGTACTGTTGAAGCCTGGCTAGGAGAATTTTGAGCATTACTTTGCTAGTGTGTGAGATGAGTACAATTGTATGGTAGTTTGAGCATTCTTTGGCATTGCCCTTCTTTGGGACTGGAATGAAAACAGACCTTTTCCAGTCCTGTGGCCACTGCTGAGTTTTCCAGATTTGCTGGCATATTGAGTGCAACACTTTCACAGCATCATCTTTTAGGATTTGAAATAGCTCAACTGGAATTTCATCACCTCCACAGCTTTGTTCCTAGTGATGCTTCCTAAGGCACACTTGACATTCCTATTCCAGGATGTCTGGCTTTAGGTGAGTGGTGACATCATCATGGTTATCTGGATCATGAAGATCTTTTTTGTCTAGTTCTTCTGTGTATTCTTGCCATCTCTTCTTAATATCTTCTGCTTCTGTTAGGTCCATACCATTTCTGTCCTTTATTGTGCCCTTCTTGGCATGATATGTTCCCTTGGTGTCTCTAATATTCTTGAAGAGATCTCTAGTCTTTCCCATTCTATTGTTTTCCTCTATTTCTTTGCATTGATCACTGAGGAAGGCTTTCTTATCTCTCCTTGCTATTCTCTGGAAATCTGCATTCAAATGGGTGTATCTTTTCCTTTTCTCCTTTGCCCTCAGCTTCTCTTCTTTTCTCAGCTATTTCTAAGGCCTCCTCAGACAGCCATTTTGCCTTCTTGCATTTCTTTTCTTGGGGATGGTCTTGATCACTGCCTCCTGTACAGTGTCATAAACCTCAGTCCGTAGTTCTTCAGGCACTCTATCAGATCTAATCCCTTGAATCTGTTTGTCACCTCTACTGTATAATTGTAAGCGATTTGATTTAGGTCATACCTGAGTGGTCTAGTGGTTTTCCCTACTTTGTTCAATTTAAGTCTGAATTTGGCAATAAGGAGTTTATGATCTGAGCCACAGTCAGCTCCTGGTCTTGTTTTTGCTGACTGTATAGAGCTTCTCCATCTTTGGCTGCAAAGAATATAATCAGTCTGATTTCGGTGTCGACCATCTGGTGACGTCCATGTGTAGAGTCTTCTCTTGTGTTGTTAAGGTTCTCATACTTGCTCCCTCTACCCCCACAATCTGGAGTTGAGGCAGCAAGTGGCAGAAAGCTTATTAGAGGAAATTATTTTTAAGCTGAGATACGGAAGTTGAATTAGATTTATCCAGATAAATTTGGGATAAGAATGTTGAGGGTGGAAGTGGGTTGTACTGCACTAGCTAAAGTTCGGTCATGAATTATATACCCAAATATATTTGAAGTCCTGCATCTAAGAGAACTCTTTACAGGAAAACAGAAAAGAGAGAGAAAAAAAATGAAGACAAACTAGTAAACAGAATTAGTATGGACTGTATTTTATGAAATTTATTAAGAGTATTCTTTTATTCTTGAAAACCTATTTCTATATATTTAGTAAACTAAGTCTTATGCCTTTCACACAGCTCTTTATTTCTTATAGATGATTTTTTTCCTGTTCATTCATTGCTTTGGCAGCTGTACCAAAATTTTTCTAAATTCTTGCAGCATAACTAAGAGTAGAAATCTGTTCAATTATTGAAAACTTATTATGTACTCAATAAAGTGTGATATGTGCTGTGATATGTGAAGGAAGAGATGCTGTGAGAATCTGTAGGCAAAGGCACTAATATTATCTGAGTGGGGGCCGGGTAAGAGCAGGCTTAATAGAGGTGAAGACCTGAATGGTGAGTATAATTTATTCAGATGACATAGGAATGAGTATGTTGGGATAAGAGTAGAGCATGGAGAGTTTATTCCAGATAGAGAGTTATATATTTAGGTATGTATGTTGAAGAAACTCTGAATAATGATAGCTATAGTAAAAACTATCGGTTATTGAATGATTATTATCATTGTGTCACTGTTCAAAGTACTTTACATCTTTAATTTTTATAGCAATCACATAAAGGAGGTATTATTATTCTACTTTTATTGACTGATTTTAACTGTCCTTTATGGATAATATAATATATAGTTATCTCCATTTCTCCTCATTTGGTCTAAATTTTGGAGCTTTGGTATTATTTTGTTTTTTGTGAGTCAGATGTGGCCTGTGCTAAAAGACCAAAAAATTAGGGCATTTTAACTTGGCATTAAAAAGAATAATTTACCGAAGTATGGTATGTATGGATGATCAATTTATGACTGACCATTAAAGTTAACTTATTATTTCAAGTTTATGAGAAATATCAGGGACAAAGAAGAATGTAATTGATATGATGAGAAAACAGTAAGACCAATCTAGATTGTGACACATTCCAGAAGACATCTGCCCTGGACTGATCAAAAAAGCCAGTATGGAAAAGAAAAGGAGAAAAGCACTCTAGATTAAGCTATACAGAAAGAGACATAACAACCAAATGTAATGCATTAATTTTTAATGGATTCAGGATTTAAAAAGCTATAAAGACATTTTGGGGGATAATCGGAAATTTTGAATATGGGCTAAGATATGAAATATTATTTTTAGTTTTCTCAGGTGTCATAGTGGTATTGTGGTTATGTAAGAGAAGGTTCTTATTCTTAAAAAATTCATAGTGAAGTATTTAGGGTGAAATATGTTTGGAAAAATTACAATATAATAATTTCTATAAATTTTATTTTACTAGGTCATTAATGGGAGTCCCAAGTAGCAAAGATTTATAAAGTGCTTAAATATAGCTTACCTTTTTTTTTGAATTTTTTATTTTATTTTTTAATATAAATTTATTTATTTTAATTGGAGCCTAATTACTTTACAATATTGTATTGGTTTTGCCATATACCTTTTTTTTTAATCTGCTATTTCCCCATCTGACTTATTGATTTATTTACTTACTCTATCTTCATTCCTATCCTCCACTAGAATGTCAGTTCCATGAGGACGGAGACATTTTGTTATTCACAGCACTTAGGATAGTATCTGGCACATAGTAGGCAGTAATCAATATTTGTTGAGTAATCTAGTGAGTAAAGATAACCAATCTCAAGCAAATCCACCATTTCTATATAAATCATAATGTCTTTAATTTTTAAAAAATCACTCTTGGCACTGTTAACCAAAAATAATAATAGACTGTTCCTTATGTTTCAGGGAAGTTGGGAAAAAAGAATTTTGAAGAGTTTAAATAGTATGTGCACTGAACTGAGTATCCCATTGGCACGAAAGGTACTTTTAACACTTAAGTATTTTATTGTGAATCATGTACTAGGAAGTATCATGAAATTATAACTGTTAGGCAGATTTATCTTTTTTTGGTGACTGGTATACAGCTTTTTGAAACCAAAGTCTATAAAAGGTCAATTATGTGGGTGTAGTTTATATAGTTTTCTATTACATATGCTATAATGCTTTTTGTAAAAAAAAAAAACAACAAACCTGTATCTTGAGAATAAATATAGGCTGTACAGTACAGATTATTTGGAGATTTGTCTGTAAAGGTTATAAGTGCACTTTAAAAATTTTAATTACCTTTAGTCTCCTTACTTGAATGATTTATTATCTCTCCAGAACTATTTAGATCTAATACTCAACATTTATCTGTAATTCTGGGCTTTGATAGGGGAGAGATGAAAAAGGAGAGAAAAGCCACTTGAGGAATGTTCTGGATCTTTTATAGCTGTTCAAGAGTAGGAGAGAACAAGTTTCTCTCCACTTCATCCTCCCTACCACCTATTTATTCCCTGCTGTTGGACAAGATATAGTGAATGTACATTGGATAATATCCAAGCACAAGTCACTGAAGGCACCAGAAGGATGGTGTAAAAAAAGGATAAATTTATATGAAAAACTGTCTAAATATGTAGTATTGTGTAATATACTGTCTTTCATATAGGAAGATGATGCTACTGACTCACAGTCACACTCTCTTGGCCAGCCCCCTTGTGATGCATTTCTGAGATTGCTGGATGGGGTAAGAGATGTAGTATGTGGCTGAGGAGCAGTTTTTCTTTGTGAAATTTTACTGGCCAGTACATAGCATTTACCTTCTATTTTAGACTCATTAGCACCATATTCTAACTGAGCCATTAAGACTATGTACAACGTAATAGCTAAATAATATTAAGTGTAATTCCCAGAAAAGCTAATCATATGTAATGAAATTATTTTTTCTTATGTTATGGTAGCTTATATAAGCTTTTAGATAAGGTATTGATTCTTATTTTTCAGCTGCATTGCTTAACTTCACAAAACGAAACCAATTTTAAAATTACCTTTTTTAGAGGCCAGTTGGAGAACAGAAAGAACTTCTCAATAAATGGAATGAAATGGGAACCGATGAACCAGGTGCATATGGAAAAAGTATTTTCAAAGTGTGGTAGTGGGAAAAAAAATTGTCCTCTTAATTGTGGATCCAAAATAACAACAGTAACAAGTATTTTTAATAGCAACTTTCCCTTCTCACTAATTTATTATCATCTGTTATTTTTTTTCCCTAAACTTCTACTTTGCAGTTTAAAAATTCCCAGCTTTAGTCACTGTTCTCCATTATTTTGAGAATATTTAAATCAGTTATTTTTTTAAATCAGCATTTGAAAACATTTTTATGAAAGAATAAGTTAGAATCATTCAGTGGATTTCTTAGGCTCATAATTAAGATAAATCTCAAGCTTTAATTACATTGAGATGTTAAAATATGTTACATTTTGAAGTTTTAAGACTTCTAAAATGTTTTTGAGAATTTATTTTGGTTCATCTTAATGTTTAAAATTGAGTCTATCAATTTTAAAAACATTTAATTAGTGACAACTGTGAAATATTTACTGTGATAAATATATGTGTAAAATAATTATTGATATATATAAAAAATAATTGTTTAGGTAGACATGTATATAATTCTTCACCACTCCTTCTTAAAAAAAAAGATGGGGCCTGGGTAGGGTGCAAGAAATTTTTAGCCATCATAAAGGAAGCAGTGTGTTATAGAAGTTCAAAAGGGAGAGCAGTTCAGTACAACTACAAGATTCACTGAGAATTTATTGTTTGTGTTCTAAGTACTTTGAGAATTCTCATGTAGAACTTTCATATTATATTGACATTGTTTTCCAATTCAATTACTAATGTTCCATTACAGATTTATAAAAGAGAGGACTCTAATTTCTTCTAGAATATGTCATCTAGACTGTCAAGGGAAGGGACTTTCTTTTTGTTTTTGTTAGTACAGTGCTTAACACAGTGTATGACAAATAATTGACATTCTGCAAATGTTTGAATTAACCTAGCTGCATAACAATATGAAAGAACCATTATAATTTATTATTAATAAGAATTTGTATATTATAACTGAAATTCTGTTTTAATCTGTCTTATTAATTCTAGATTTAAGCCTTTTCAGACCTGTTTATGCACCTAAGGACTTTCTTGAGGTAGGTTCTATTGGCTAAATATATATATAAATGAGGTAAAAATGCAAAAGAAATAAAAAACATCTCCAGGCAGAAGAATCACCATGTAAGAAGCCCCAGAGCTATGAAAGCAATGGAATAACCTGATCAGATTTGTTTTTGGAAATTGCTCTGGGAAAATACATTGTAGTGTGGAAAGATTAGAGGGAAGTAAATCAAGAAGATTTGATTAAAAAATAGACTGTAAATCATGTAGCCTGCTGGCTAGCACAATAGGTGCTCAATGAATCTTTTCCTTTTTTATTTTTCTCCCTGTTGTAGTAGTTCAGGCAAGGTATGATAAAGGTTTGAACTCAGAGAACAGCGTTCAAAATGGAAAGACATCAACAGACTTGAATTTAACAAGATGTGAATTTAACAGATTTTTTTTAAAGATTTGGGAATTTATTATATCTAGGGAGTATGAGAAAAAGAAAAGATAAAGATGACCTTTAAGTGTCTAGATTGGATAACTGGGCAGTTAAGATACAGAATACAGAAAGAGACACAGGTCCACTAGTAAAGGTGATACACTTAATTAAGTTTGAGAGGCGTATTGACATTGAAGAGGAACTCTTTAGTAGGCAGTTAGAACTCACTAATTATTTTAATTCACCCATCTTAGATTCCATTTTTTTTCCCTTGTACCTTATATGTAACCCACCAGGAAATCCTTTTAGCCTTACCTTTGAAGTATGTCCAGAATCCATTCACTTCTCATCACCACCATTCCTATGTTGCTGATTCAAGCTGCCATCTCTTGTCTGGACTATTTCAGCCTCTTAATTGCTCTTATTGCTTCTACACTTCCCCACCTAGAATTTGTTTTTAGCAGAGTTTCTAGAGGAAGCCTTGTAAATACTATTCTGAAGAAGCCATTCTTCTGCTATCCAGTGGCTTCTTATCTCATTCTACTTAAAACACAAGTCATGACAGTGGCCTCAAACACCCTATTTGATCTGATACCTGTCAGCTCTCTGAGTTCATCTCCTGTTACTTTTCCTCCTGATTTGTTCTACTTCAGCAGCTTTAGCTTGCTTACCTTCCCCTGGCTTTCTCCCCTTTGAGGGTCTTTGCTCCTTGTTTTCTCTGCCTGCATTGCTTTTCCTTGAGATGCTTGTGTGTCCATTCCCTCACATTCCCTTATGTCTTTGCTTAAATGTCATATTCTCAGCATAAACAATATGGTCAAGAGTACTGTAATAACTTTGGAGGGATACAGACTTATGGTGGTGATAATTTCATAATGTATGCAAATGTCCAATTACTGTTAGTACAGTCTGAAACTAAGAGGTGTAACAGTGCTTAGCACATAGTTGCTCAGTAAATAAGTGTTGAGTGAATGAGTAAATGAATGATTTAATCTTTTGCATTTCATTTTTTTTCTGAACCTGTTTTCTCAGATACAAGTTTGCCAGCATTGTTAGAAATTATTTTGGGCCTTTTAGAATTATAAACAGTCTCCTTTTAACTTAAAAGAGAAGTTACTTTGGTTTGAAACTGCCTTTATACTGCTAGTGTTATTTCTCTTAGATTATTAAAGGTTTCTCTCAAACTCATTCCTTTCCTAGCACTTAAATTTCATATAATTTTTACATAATCAACTTTATGTTTTCTCCTTAATAATCATAGCACTCTGTTTCCTTCAGGAGTGTTGCTGAATTGATTCTTTAATTAGTCATGCTGAGAGTCTTCTTTAGCTAAAGAAAATTTTTCTATAATCACTTCCTTATAGTTTCTGCTTTTCTAATATTTTTTTCTTTTCTATTGCCCATATAGTCATAATTTTTCTTTTCAATTCTATGTTTTTAAGTTTTCCATGCCCTATGATCCCTTATTTTCATAATTGGACTAAAATTGTTTTGTGCTATATTAGTCTATATTTAACACTGTTGGTTCTTTTCTAAAACATTTTTTAAAAATAAATTCCTTTGATATTTTTAGCTTCAATATAGTGTTTGAAATTTTAGAAAACTCTTTTGCACTTGTGGTATATTTCATTTTGTCAGCCATTAGTTATCAAGTTATTAATACCTTCTTCAGATATGCTGGTGTTTCTGTCATTATAATCTTCTTCACTGAATTCTTGGCTTCTTTCCCTTCAGAATTGCAATTTAAAAATATTTTTGAAAATTATTATTGTTTTCTCCCTAAAATACATGTTGCTTTAAAAACAAGAAAACATATATAAGAAAAAAATTTAAAACAAAACTCACTCATAATATCATCATATAGCAATAAACACTACTGTAATTTTTAATTTAATAAACATTGTGGTGTTTATTAATGGTGGCATATTAAACTGTATTTTATGTAAATTTAACATAATATAGGTAATTTTCTCTACTGGAATGTTTAAGTAGTCTTAAACATCTTAAATGTCTAATATTGAATGTCTTAAAATATTGAATGTATAATATTTTTCTGTTATAAACAACACTTCCTTTACCTTTTTTTTCTGCACTATCTCTGCAAGCAGTTTTAATTATTTCCATAATCATACTGATAGAAGTGAGATTCCTAGATTAAAAGATATGCAAATATCCAATATTTTTAATTTTGAAAAATATTTCCTGTTAGTTTGGCTTCTGAAAATTTTTTTTTTTTACCTTTGGATTTGATTTAGAAGCAATACCTTATGATGTTATTCCACTGTCTTTCTATAAACTTTTCAGCATCTATTTTTTTTTCCATTTATTTTTATTAGTTGGAGGCTAATTACCTTACAACATTGCAGTGGTTTTTGTCATACATTGAAATGAATTAGCCATGGATTTACATGTATTCCCCATCCCGGTCCCCCCTCCCACTTCCCTCTCCACCCGATCCCTCTGGATCTTCCCAGCAGCATCTATTTTTAAAAGAGTTAGAGTTGGTTCTGAAGTTTTCCCTGGCAAATACTGAAATCAAGCAGTTTAAATTTTTCTGTCATTTTTCCTTGTAAAATATTATACTCAAACAATTTTTATTTTTTCTTAACATCAAAAAGTTTTTCTTTCTAACTGAAATTTTAACTTTTTAGTATTTTATTTGATAGATCGTCTTTTGGAATATTAAATTGAAAACATGTTTATGGTATCTTAACATTTTAACACAATTTTATAGCTTTCAGAATGTAATTAAAGTATATGCATAACCCAAATAGTTTTTAATTTTGTGATGATATACTAAGAATATCACTGCCAATTTTATAAGTGTAAATTTTGTATAAAGAAACTAATCAATTTCATTGGATTTGTTTTTAAAGGTATTAATTAATCTTCGCAACCCAAATTATGAAAATGGTGATTCTCTTAGTTTCCGGACTCATTTGGGTTTAATCCAAGTTCCTCTCAAAGTAAAAGACATCCCTGAATTGGTAAGTGTAGGTACTTAAAAATAAATTAGCATATTTTAGAGGGTAACCATTGGAAAAAAAACTTTAGTTCAACATGTATCTAAAGTAGTAGGACAATCTGCTCATTAAATAAATGAATAAAGTGAAAAATTTCTTTTTTATTGTAAATATGTTCTATAGAGAGTGAGTTGCTTTGCTAGTGGGATTAAAGGTGACCTTTCATTGACCTATAAATGTTTTTGCTTATTTCTTATTTCAATAAACAGCATAGACTTATAAGACCTGTTATTGGGATTTAGGTGCCTGATGTATAGCTATAAAACTGATTGAAACAAATTGTGAATTTTATTAAAAAATTTGAAGGAATATACATTTCATTTATTTCAACCAACCTTTTTTTAATCTCTGAATGTGGAAGACACTGAGGGAGATAAAAGAACATAAGATGAGTTAAAGACTATCTTTGCACTGCAGATTGTCACATTTTGGTAGGGAAATTAGTTTTAAAATAGAATAATTGTAGGAAAGTGGAGAGATTTCCTTACAAAGAAGTTAGTTAATTATCCTAAAATAGTAAGGAGCACAGAAATGTAAATATTGCCTTTGGTGAAACTGAGAAACAACTAAATTTTAAAATATTAAGATAGAGAACTGATGGAAGAATGAGAAATGACTCAGACTTGAAGAAGGTCAAGCCTTATTGCTTCTGAAAGGTGGGAGGTATGGATGAGAAGTGTGATGGTAATCAATTTATTACCTTTCAGCTCTGAATCTACCTTTTTAAAAAACTGAACTATGGTTGCTTTACAATATTGTATTAGTTTTAGGTGTACAGTAGAGTGATTCAGTTACATACACACAGATACACACACATGTTGTTTTCAGATTTTTTTCCATTATAGACTATTATAAGATACTGAATATAGTTCCCTGTGCTATACAGTTAATCCTTGTTATTCATCTGTCTTACATACAGTAGTGTATATATGTTAATCTCATATTCCTGATTTATCCCTGCCTCCCTCTTTTCCCTTTGGTAACTGTAAGTTTGTTTTCTAGGTCTGTGAGTCTATTTCTGTTTTGTAAGGAAGTTCATTTGTTTTATTTTTGAGATTCTACATATAAGGATATAGTATTTGTCTGTCTGACTTACTTCACTTAGTATGATAATCTCTAGATCCATCCATGTTGCTGTAAATGGCACTATTTCATTCTTTTTCATGGCCAAGTAATATTCCTTTGTGTATCTATATACCACATCTTCTTTATGCATACATTCATCTGTTGATGCACACTTAGGTTGCTTCCATGTCTTGGTTGTTATAAATTGTGCTGCTATGAACTTGTAGTGTGTGTACATTTTTGATTTAGAGTTTTTGTCTTTTCTTGATATATGCACAGGAGTGGGATTGCTAGATCATATCATGAGTCTATTTTTAGTTTTTTAAGGAACTTCCATACTGTTTTCCATAGTGGCTGCACCAAATTACATTCCTACCAACAGTGTAGGAGAGTTCCCTTTTCTCTACTCCCTCTCCAGCATTTATCATTTATAAACTTTTTGATGGTGACCATTCTGGCCATTTGTAGTTTGCAAACCTACCTTTTTTTTTAAACCCTGTTTTATTATACTGGAGCTGGACCTTGTAGACATTTCCTTTTTGCCAACTAGGCTTTGTCAGAGGATTCTGGAAAGACATTGCAAGACCATAGTAGGATAAAGGACTTTCCAGGTACAGAAGCCAGCAGATCAGCAAACAGAAGACCCAGTAGGATTCACCTTGGCAGCCCTTAGTCAACCAGCTCCAGCCTGTATTCACTGGCAAGATTGTTCTTCACCTCTGGTCTGCATGTTCCTGGGGCAGGCACACCCTCTCCTTAAAAGTCTGAATCTCAGTCTTGAGGACATGGGGGACCTTTCCTGAGTTCTTAGTTCTTTGGTTCACTCTCCTTCAGCCTAGAAGCCATAGTTGCTTTCTGCACTTGTTAATTCTGTTTGTCCCTGTTCACACTTCTGATATGGTTTCTGTTTCTTGACTGGATTGTGACTGATACAAGAAACCAGATGATTTTATCCCTGAAACTTTGCAAAGAATCAGGAATTGGAGATAACCACATGTATAGAAGGCTTTGAGGAGACATAGAGCTGAAAATGGAGATTGTATAAAACGGTTTAGACTCCCAGACTTGTCCCATCCTTCATTTTCTGGCGACTCCTCCTCCCCAACAGGAGACCAGAGGTGTATATAATCATTGCAGAAAGGCCATGAACTCAGAGACCTCAAATGTAGAGCTGAATAGGAATGAAGCATTGTATTGAAAACAGAAGAATTAAGTGAAGGTTGACCAAAAGAAAGAAAGCAAAAGCTGGCTCTCTATAAAAATTTTTTCAGAGTAAAGCCCATCATACTCTGCCCAGGCCTCAAAGACAGAGCTTCCAGTCAGTTGTTCATTGCCTCAATCCGAAATATGACTGACCAGCCTAGGCTCTCCAGATACTTGAAATTTTACAATTTGAAAAGCACAGCTCAAAACTAAAACCGACCCTGCAGAGAAAAATAAGGAAGAAGAAATATCCAATTTATGAAATGAGTAATTTTTATGACCACCAATATAGTTACTTCAGGTTTGAATTTACATCTACACTCTCAAGATACAATAGGCCAAACCTGGTGTAAGGTTCAATTAGATTTGTAGAGAGATAGAAAACAGAAAACGTGGCATGTCAATATATCATGTAGATCTTCATTGGAAGTCCTTACAGCCTACCAGCTGCTACTTCCCAGCCCCTACAAGGAATGCTTGCAAATGGAAGTAACAAGGTTACATAGGCACAGCATAGGAAAATCTCATGTGCAATAGGAACCGTTTCTTGTAATGCACATGAGCACAGTTTCCAAGTCCTGTGTTTTCCAATAGGTTTCTATGGTCCACTTATAGTCCTCCATTTCAGATGAAATTTACCAGTCAAGTGTCATTTTTTTTTTTCCAGTAAATTACATTGCTGGTTATGTAGCTGGCTTTCCTCTCTGCAATTTTTTTTTTCATAATCCAGTACATTTTCAGGGCAACAGGGCTGAGAGAAGGTAAATCCAAAGTCATCTTCACTTGGACAAAGAGGCTAATCTTCTGTTAACTGTATCTTTCCAATAGAAGACTTAAAACAAACATTAATATTCTCAGAGAGGAGACATTACTCATGAAACAGGAACAGAATTTCATTAGAACAACAAAACAAGACATTAGAAAGTGAAAAAGAACTTTTAGGAATCAAAAATATGATGTGCAAAAAAAATGAGTAGAGAGTTAGGGAAATAAAAAATATGGTGTACAAAAAAAGTCAGTAGAAAGCCCAGGAAATCTCTATCAGAAGACAGTATAAAAGCAAAAAGCCAATGAGATGAAAAATAAATGGGAAAAGGTCTTTTTAATTAGATGGTCAGTCCAGATGGGCTGACACCTGGCCAGTAGGATTTCCAGAAAGAGAATACAGAAGCCAAGGAATTTTAAAAAATTTTTAAGAACTGAAAGACAGGAATCTTCATTATGAAAAGACCTACCCTAGTACCCAGTTCTATGAATGAAAGAAGACTCATAGCAAGGCACCTGAAAAAGACTTTTTATGGAAAAATAGAGTATATATAATGTTTCAGGCATCAGAGTGGCATCTGAGTTCTCAGCAGGAAGACTGGAAGCCAGAGAATTTTTAAGTAAAGCCTTTAAAAATCTGAATGATTTCAAGCCTAGAATTCTGTATATAACCACCAGTCAGTTAAATGTGAAGTTGAAGTATCTGTTTTCAGATGTACATGATCTAAAATATGCTAATTCATGGAGCTATTGGTAGAAATGCCCTAAAACAAGATCATAAACAAAAAGAGCAAAATAGAGGATCTAGGAAATGGGATTTCCAACCTAAGTGTAGAATAAGTTCCAGAATGCCAGTGGAGAGAATTTCCAGGCCAGTCTGTGCAACAGGACCAGAGCAGAGCCATCCATATTGGAGCAGAAGCTTGTAGGGTTCCATGATGAGAACTGGCAAGAAAAACACCAAAAATGTAGGTGATCTGACGGTGTGCTAACCACATGCAAAACTGTTGTGGAGGGTCTTTTCAGAGTTGTGAAAGGGAGGAGGAAGAGGTAAGTAGAGAAAATGCATAAGTGAAAAAGTGAGTTAATTATGAACTGTATGGAAAAAGTACAAGAAAGGAAACATTTATAGCATACTACATTCTTCAGCAGTGAGTAATATTTAAATAATAATAACAAACTCTTAACATAGATGTAATTAAGCATTGATATATACTTATATTGGAATGATGGAGGAAAAGAGAATGTACTGAGCTAAAAATCCACATTTATCACTAAAAAAATTTAATAGTTATTTAAAACTGCTAAATTTAAAATAGCAGAATGTACCTGTTACTTGAAATACGGACATATGTTTGTTTGTTTGTTTGTTTTTGGCCATGCTGCATGTTTTATGGGATCTTAGTTGCCCAGCCAGGGATTGAACCCAGGCCCGTGGCAGTGAGGTGGATTCCTAACCCCTGGGTTAGGAAAATATGGATATGGATATGGATTCCCAAAATATGGATATAAATACCAAGAAAAATGCTAAAGTGGTTGTTCCTGCTTAGTGGAATAATTATGATTGTGTGCATTTGTGTGTTGGAGAGGAGTGCATAAATAGGGGACTAATGTTTTGTTACTGTTAATAAGTCTTTTAGCTGACTTGATTTATGTTTAATGTACATAAAGAGAGCATAGCATGGTGGTTAGATAATTAGATTCTGAAGTCAACTAACCTGGTTTAACCTCTTGCTCTACTACTCACTGGTTGTGTGACCTTGGGCAAGTTTTCTTAACCTTGAGCTTTAGTTTTCTTATTTAATATATAGATAATAGTATCTCATAAAAGTACTGTATTGATCAGTATCTTAAGATATGTTATGGGTTGACTTGTGGCCCCCCCAAAAGTTATGTTGAATCCTGACCTCCAGTACTTGTAAATGTGACCTCATTTAAAATAGGACCCTTGCAGGTGCAATGAAGTTAAGATGATGTCTTACTGGAGTAGGGTAAGCTCAAAATCCAATATGACTGGTGTCCTTAAAAGAAGAGGAGAAGAGAGACTCACAGGGAGGAATGTTGTATGACAGGCAGAGATTGGAGTGTTGCATGCATAAGCCAGGGAACATCAGCAATTGCCAGCAACACCAGAGGCTTAGAGAGAGACATGGAGCAGATTCTCTCCTGGAACCTTCAGGGAAAGCGTGATCTTGTTAACATTTTGAACTTCTAGCCTCTATAACTGTGAGAAACTGGAGTTTCTGTTGTTTAAAATGAAAATGAAGTTGCTCAGTCGTGTCCAACTCTTTGCGACCCCATGGACTGTAGCCTGCCAGGCTCCTCTGTCCATGGGATTTTCCAGGCAAGAATACTGGGGTGGAACCATTTCCTTCTCCAGGGGATCTTCCTGACTCAGGGATCGAACCTGGGTCTCCCGCATCGCAGGCAGACTCTTTACTGACTGAGCCACCAGGGAAGAACCCTTATGTTTTTTAAAGCTAGCCAAGTAGTGGTACTTTTTTAAATGGCAGGCTTAGGAAATTAATATATAAATATAAAGCATATAAGTGGTCCTTGAAACATAGTAAGCAGTAAATGTTAAGCATTAGTACTACAACTTTCGTAAAAAACCATTTTTAAGACGTTATTTAAAAGGTGGTAGAAGTCCTCTTCAGTTCAGTTCAGTTCAGTTGCTCAGTTGTGTCCGACTCTGCGACCCCATGAACCGCAGCATGCCAGGCCTCCCTGTCCATCACCAACTCCTGGAGTCCACCCAAACCTATGTCCATTGAGTTGGTGATGTCATCCAACCACCTCATCCTCTGTCGTCCCCTTTAGGAGAGGTTTATACAAAAGGATATGGCTGTATAGAAGAGGAAGTGGCAGATGAAATGTAGAAGCTCTTCTCAGAGGTACTGACATTTGATATAGTTTGAAGGCATTTGCTAGGTAAAGAAGCAGGGAATGATGATTTATGAAAAGGTTTAGCATGTTGTAAGTGGGGCTAATTATGCCTTCTGTCTGTCTGAGGGGACCTGGAGCTGGTGTAGACACATTCTTAGCTGTTGGAGAATCAGAATCCTGTGACTGATTTTCAAAAAACTGTGACCATACTTAATGTCTTCAGGTATTAGGGATAGTTGTCCCCATTTCCTGAATCATGTGGCTGGTGATAATGGTTCCACCTCCAGAGTGCATGGTTTATCTGTAACCCTGGTCTGTCTGTGTGAGTGCTGAACTTGGTGAGACTCAGTGAGTCTTATATGATCCTGTAATAGATGGCCCTCAAACCTAACTCACAGTGTTATGCAGACTCATGCATATTAAAAAGGATTTTTTTTTTAGGTATAGTTGATGTACAATATTACATAAGTTTCAGGTGTACAACTTATTGATTCACAATTTTTAAAGGTGATACTTCATTTATAGTTATAAAATATTGACTATATTCCCTGTGTTGTACAATATATTCTTTTAGCTTATTTACTTTATATGTAGTAGTTTGTATCTCTTAATCCTGTACCTCTATCTTGCCAAAAGGGAATTTCTTGAAACTGAAATGTATTAACTCTAAAGAGAAGTTGCAGGCTAATTCCTGTTCAGTCTTGTACAGACAGCAGGTCGGAACTAGAGCTCAGTGGAGTGGTTCCCCATTTATTAACTCCCCTCTGTCACATGTCACTAAGCACTGTGCTAAGTACTGGGGGTGCAGATGTGTGTAAGAGATAGGACTGTCTTCCAAGAGCTTCAGGCTCGTGAGGAAATGACCGGTACAAAGATAATTTCAATACGATGTAATTACATGCTTTGATAGAGGTTGCAGGAAAGGTAATACATGTTCATAAAGAAGAAAATCTGAGATTAGGGCCCAGGGCTTCCGTGGTGGCTCAGTCAGTAAAGGTCTGCCTGCAATGCAGGAGACCCCGGTGTAATCCCTGGGTCAGGAAGATCCCTGGAGAAGGGAATGGTTACCCACTCCTGTATTCTTGCCTGGAGAATTCCATGGAGAGAGGAGTCTGGTGGGCTCTTGTCCATGGGGTCACAGAGTCAGACCCGACTGAGTGAGTAACACTTACACTACTGATATAGAATAAAAAATAGTCCAAAGCAGTACATTTTTACCTCTTTAGTTATCAAAAATTGGTAACATAAGTTGCAGTGCTTTTTTTTTTTCCATTTTTTTTTTATTAGTTGGAGGCCAATCACTCTACATCATTGCAGTGGTTTTTGTCATACATTGAAATGAATTAGCCATGGATTTACATGTATTCCCCATCCTGGTCCCCCCTCCCACCTCCCTCTCCACCCGATCCCTCTGGGTCTTCCCAGTGCACCAGGCCCGAGCACTTGTCTCATGCACCCAACCTGGGCTGGTGATCTGTTTCACCCTAGATAATATACATGTTTCGATGCTATTCTCTTGAAACATCCCACCCTCGCCTTCTCCCAGAGTCCACAAGTCTGTTCTATACATCTGAGTCTCTTTTTCTGTTTTGCATATAGGGTTATCATTACCATCTTTCTAAATTCCATATATATGTGTTAGTATACTGTAATGGTCTTTATCTTTCTGGCTTACTTCGCTCTGTATAATGGGCTCCAGTTTCATCCATCTCATTAGAACTGATTCAAATGAATTCTTTTTAATGGCTGAGTAATATTCCATGGTGTATATGTACCACAGCTTCCTCATCCATTCGTCTGCTGATGGGCATCTAGGTTGCTTCCATGTCCTGGCTATTATAAACAGTGCTGCGATGAACATTGGGGTGCACGTGTCTCTTTCGGGTCTGGTTTCCTCAGTGTGTATGCCCAGAAGTGGGATTGCTGGGTCATATGGCAGTTCTATTTCCAGCTTTTTAAGAAATCTCCACACTGTTTTCCATAGTGGCTGTACTACTTTGCATTCCCACCAACAGTGTAAGAGGGTTCCCTTTTCTCCACACCCTCTCCAGCATTTATTGCTTGTAGACTTTTGGATAGCAGCCATCCTGACTGGCATATAATGGTACCTCATTGTGGTTTTGATTTGCATTTCTCTGATAATGAGTGATGTTGAGCATCTTTTCATGTGTTTGTTAGCCATCTGTATGTCTTCCTTGGAGAAATGTCTGTTTAGTTCTTTGGCCCATTTTTTGATTGGGTCATTTATTTTTCTGGAGTTGAGCTGGAGGAGTTGCTTGTATATTTTTGAGATTAATCCTTTGTCTGTTGCTTCGTTTGCTATTATTTTCTCCCAATCTGAGGGCTGTCTTTTCACCTTGCTTATAGTTTCCTTTGTTGTGCAAAAGCTTTTAAGTTTCATTAGTGCTTTTTTAAGATATAGATAAAAATCAAGGTTTTAGTTAAAAGATTGAAATAAAATGACATTTATTTAAAATCTATACAAAAATAAATTATATGTGTTATGCTGAATAACTGTTTTATGAGGGACACAAATCACTATTTTAAATAATCACAGATAATTATGAAAGATTAAAACTAATTCCATTTTTAAAGAAGAAGGAAGTTTGGTTTTAGCAATTAGGATAGTAACAAAAGACTGAGGCAAGTATTAATAGAAATATTTAATTACTTAGGGAATAAAAATAATATGAATACTATGAGGTTCTTATGTATTTTAAAAAAACAGACAAACAGGGTTACTTTCCTTAGACATTAGTAGATAAGTAGAGGAAGTCTGGAGAATAAATCTAATTTATTCTTATTTTAGCAGAGCACTTGATAGTCTAATTTTACTTAAAAATTAATTTAAGTTGTTTTGGATATTTGCAGTGTTTATTTGATTAAGAGCTGAGTGAAGTACAGTACCATACAAAGCACAGATACAGAATTATATTGGTAATTTTAGATAATGAATTTAGAAAATAAAATTTATCAGTACTGCATGTGCTATTTGTATATGTATGTTTAAGGAAAGATTTGAATGTTATTAGTTCTTTACTCAAAAGAATAATTATTCTTTACTTTCACTGACTAGTTATCTAAAATGGGAAAATTTTGGACTAAAGCATTACTATTTAAAGGTTCAATAATATCATTTTCTTTTTTAGATATTTAAATGAAGCAAAGATTTATTTTACATTGTGATTTTCATTTAAGTTGATGTCTAGGTGAAGATATTTTTTTAAATAACGTGTAGAAAAGTCTGAGATGTGTGGTAATTCTGTGTGTTATTTTTCAGAAAGAATTCTTTGTAGAACTTGGCTTAACTACAGGACAGCTGGGTATAGATGACTCTACACAAGTGCCTCCTGGTTAGTATTTCTCCCATATGGCATATAATAAATGAAAATGAGAGTTAGGTTAAGGTTTATCTTGTCATTTCCAAATTAATCTAGTAACTTTTTAATATCTGTCAACTAACATGCTTTTTGCCTCTCCTTGGTTACTATTAATTATTGGATAGAATCTTGTATATTTATTAGCACTCAATTAGATATTGTCTTTTTATTTTAGGGTCTTTAAAACAATTTTGAAAACTCATAAGACGTACATAAGTCATTTTGTTGGCAAAATTTTTCATTGGCAGCACTCATGGTTCCCTTTATTTGCTGTTACTATCTTTTATTATTTTTCATATCACCAAGTTAACTGAACACTGACATTCTATCTTGTATAAATAAACATAGGTTTTAAAATTGGTATGTTTTCATCTAGAACATTTCCCCAACATCTCTCTTCTTGTGCCTAAATGCCTGTATTTTCATAAAAGACTGGATTAATATTTAATCATAATAAACAGGAAGGAAAAATTGACTTAAAATATGGAAGGTCTGTATTGTTGTACTAATCATAATAGGAGTCAAGGAACTGTTCTTGTCTTTTTCTTTGTCACTGGCTAGTTGTGTGACTTGGAAAAGTCACTTTGTATTTCTGGACTTGTTTCTTCCACTGTAAGATAAGGAAGTTGGCCACTTATTATTGTTGCTAATAATAATAATAATAATAATAAACAGCTATTGAGCATATACTATGTATTACATGTGTTTTATATATAAAACAACTCTAGATGTAACTGTATTATTGTCATTTTAAAACCTTTGTTACTGTGTAATGCATATAGGAAAGTACATGTGTCCTAAGAGAATGGCTCAACAAATTTTTATAATTGGACACTCCTATTAAATTACCACCCAGATCAATGAAATGAAGTCCTTTCCTACCCCCTTTCCATCTTGATCCCCTGTGTCAAAGATAACCACTGTTTTTACTATTCAAGTCTCATCTCTTGCCTCCTCATTCTGTCCTTTCCCCTTCTGCCACCTCCATCCCCGTTTCCACATACACACATGTTCTCTGTCTCTAATCATATTTGAAAAACTGCTGCAAATTTTTCAAGTGTCTAGATTGACGACTCTGCCTCCTCTAAATCCTCTCCATCATTAGCATCACCGCCATCCATGTTTATAGGATTTCAGCATATCTTCAAGTTCCTTGTTGGTAAGGGTTTCTCTATGCTCTTCTGGGTGGTCCTCAACATTGTGATCAGTTCATTACGTCAGAGAAACCTTCCCCACCAAACTTGCCTTGAAACGTCCAAAATATTCTTGATTTCCACATCAGTATTGGGGGAGTCCCTGAGTCACTGCTTGCTTCCTTCCAGAATGGCCTCAGCGTGCATCAGGCTTTAGGGCATCTACAGCCTCTGCAGTGGACAGAATCGCACCTGCAATTGTGAAGCTCTTTCGTAAATTGCTACTGTGGCTGCTGCTGCTGTTGCCACTACTGCAGGCAGGGTTAGCATCACGGGCAGTGGGGAACCTTCTGCAAGTGAGGTGGATGTAAAATCACCTGGATGCACCGCTGCAGCGGTGACATAGAGTTAGGAAACAGGAGCAGCATTCCACATTCTCGCTGGTGAAGCAGAGATTGGGGTTGACCAGGAGCATTCTCAGCTAAGAGGAGGACCTTGAAATGGCAGCCCCTTCTCTTCATGCCTTTACTTCAGGAATGAAGCACTGGTGGAACCTCTCCAAGAACAAGATGGCCTTCACCCAAACCTTCTCGTATTGTCAGAACATGGGCCAGCAATTTTTGTTTTTGTTCTTGCGGGCCTGGGGATTGCTTGCTCAGTAGATGGAGCCTGGCTTGATCACGTGACCTGATGCATTACCACACAGCACCAGAATAAGGTCATCTTTCCAGGTCCTGAACCCTGGGGCTTGCTTTACATTCTTATGGAAATAGGTGTTATTGGGCATCCCCTTTCAGAACATGCCCACTTCATCACAGCTGAAGATCTGCTCTGGAAGGCAGCCTATCTCTTCTGTAAGTTTTCTGAGCTGTCTGGGAACACTGAAGCTGTCTGGGCATCAGCCAGTGTTGATTCTCCCATGATCTCTGAGTTCTTGTGGCTGCAGCGTTTCACAGAGCTAGCCAGCCATCCCTGTGAGCCTCAGACTCGGTTCTCCGCAGCCCCTCACAGTGGTGCTCAAGGCTAAGTGCTTTTCACACCGCATCTTGCTTTCAACAGGAATATGCTTCTGTGACACGTCCTCCAGCCAAACTTAATGCCTTTGTAAACATTTTATCATGAACCAGAGACCATTTTTGCAATTGTAGGGGCGGCACTAATACTTCCACATAGTTCAGCTTCTTTCTGCTTTATTTTGCAAATGCTTGGTTCATTTATACTGACCTGTAGCTAACCTTGGCAAGCAGCATGAATCTATGACATAGTGGGAGACTACAGCTATATGGGTATGCCATATAGTGTATATATACCCTATGCTATATGGGTATGCCAACATATCAGTTCATTCACATGAATTCAAGTTATGCTTTTTAGAACCTAGCACACAGCAAATTCACGATTTGTTTTTTGGAATTTTCTGGAATTTTTTTCAAATATTTTAGTCTGAGGTTGGTTGAATCCATAGATGTGGAACCCACAGATTTAGAGGGCTGACTGTATTACAGTAGTGCTGCTGTGAATATTCTTGTGTAAGTCTCCTGGCACACATAGGCACACATTAAGTTTCATATGTGAGAGTAATGCTGCTAACTGTTGTAGGGTGTGCATACATTCTGTGTTAGTAGATGTTGCCAAATGGTTTTCCAAGGTGGTTGGACTGATTCACACTCCTACCACCTTTGTATGGGAAGCTCATTTGCTCCCATACCTTTCCTCTGCATCTAGCCATTGTGGTGGTTGTGTATTTCATAATGTTTTTAATTTCATTTCTCTGATGACTAACATGGTTGAGCATTTTCTCGTATGTTTATTGGTCCTTTGGATTACCTCTTTTGTAAAGAACCTGTTCACATCTTCTGCATATTTGTATTGGATAGTTGTCTTTTTTAAGCTGACTTACTGGGAGAACACAGAAAGGTCTTCTAAGTACAAGACCTTTGCTGGATAGATACATATTGCAAATATATTCTCCCACTCTGTGACTCACCTTTTCACTCTCAGTGATGTCTTTGATGAACAGAAGTTTCTTGGGTCGAATATGACCAAGTTTAGGTTTTTTTTTTTCTATTATGATTGGTACTTTAAAAACAAATTTTTGTTTTCCCCATATAACATTTATTTTTATAGTGGGATTACCTATATAGTATTAACGCTTTTATTAGGTATGCTTTCATGCTAGTTTAGAGTGGAAGTAGGGGTTTGCAAGTGAAGCTGTCAATAAGTTTTGTTTTTAGGGGAAAAAATCAAAGATGAATGGACAGAATCTTGTGTTATGAGAAGATATTTTATACTATCTTAACAAAGGAAGTTAATCAATTTTTTCTTCTGATTAAATATACTTAATTTTCTTTTAATTTCTATAAACTTTAAACAAATTAGAAAAAAGACTTTTCTATATATATTCTTATAGTTTCCTGTAGAGCTATTCCAGCTTTGAAAATAATTAGAAGCATCAGTACTAGAAAAATATACATAATATTATTCTAAATGTGGCTGATTATATTTGTTTCTAAAAATGTTATTTTATCATTTTTAGAGCTTTTTGAAAATGAGCATGTACGTATTGGGCAAAAAGGTAAGCTTTTTAAAATTTTTTAAGTGGAAGATAATTGCTTTATAATGTGTTGGTTTCTGCTGAACAACAACATGAATCAGCTATTTAGTACACATGTATCTCCTCCCTCTTGAGAAAAAGATAAGCTATTGATTAAACTTATTTTAATTTCTGAAAATGAGATAGTTTTAAGTAAATGTCTGCATCGTATGCCCTCATCTGAAATTTAATCCCCCAAAAGCTAAAGACCTAAAAAGGAATCATAATTAACAATGTAGATGAAACAATAGGAATCTTTATAAAGAGGGGAAATGCATCATTTTGGCTTTATCAGTAAACAGCAGGTAAAGAAGTACACAGATGATTCACTAAAAAGGAAAAGATAAATGCAGCCACACATTTCTCAAGGATATTAGCTTAATCCATTCAACAATAGAATTTCATTTTAAAATCAGAGTCAGGTTCTCTCTTTGATGTGCCCACACCCTTCTCATTAATGTTAATAGGAATATGCTCCTGCATCAGGAGAAAGTAATGACTGCCACACTTCCTGGTGACTGTTCACCGTGGTAGGACTTAATAACTGAGCAGCTGTCAGCATTCTGGAGAATAAATTTTCCCCATCTTTTGAAGATTCTTTTCCTTGTTTATATAAATCCTGTTTAGTCTTTGAAATATGAAGTGCAGATATGTCTTTGTGTCAGAATGAACCTTCTGACAGTTATATTATCATGGTCTAAACTCCCTAGTTAAATTTTCAGAATCTAGAGGACTGTGTTTATATGATTTGATATTTTCATTAAACACAATTGCAAGTTAAAGAATACGTTTCATCTTTTTATTTCATGTGTTTCCTTTGTTTCTTTTGGTCTTCTCATTTTCATTAGTGTAAGGTTTTTTCCTTTTTCTTTTAAGGATATAAGAAAACAGTACTGTTAGACATATATTAGCAGATGTCTAGTCTGTCTTCTTTTGTTTTTATTTTTTTATATTTTGGTTTTGTTTGTTTTGGAAAGGGGCTTAATTTCTAGATTTAATATTTAATATTTTCATTAAAATAAAAATTAAAACGAAAGGATAATATATTAATTTTGTAAACTTGACCACTTCTGAATAATCTGGGGCCTTAAAATGTTATTGGATCCTTTGTGTTTTCGTTCTTAAAAAATTTCTCTTTTCTGTTGATTTTCCTGGAGAAGGAAATGGCAACCCACTCAGGTACTCTTTGCCTGGAAAATCCCATAGACAGAGAAGCCTGGTAGGCTACAGTCAATGGGGTCGCAAAGAGTCGGACATAACTGAGCAACTTCACTTCTTCACTTCTTCTGTTGATTTTGGCAGATAGTTAAAAGGTCATCTAATAGAATGGATATCTACATTTCCAGAATTCTTAATCATAATACTTCAAATAGCATACTACTTCCAAATACTAGAACACTCATGACTTAGTAGGATATGCTTAAGAAATTTAAGGTTTCTGTAGATATGACTTGATGTGATCTTCAAATCCAAAATTTATTATATATATGCATCACTAGTTGCAGATCCATGAAACTATAGTTAAAGCACAGGAATTCAAGGTACTTACATTAAAAAACTTTCAGGTAAAGCAGGAGGTGGAGGAGCCTAAGGCTTAAAACGTACAGGACTGTAAATCAGACCACATCAAAAATCAGAGAGTAAAAGAAGATCGCCAAGATATGTTTTAATTATGTAAGATACAAAGATGAAATGTTAGCTTCCTTAAAAAAAATTGTGAAGATTTCAGTGTCTTTCTTACATTACACATTTTCTAATGAGACTCTAATATACTTTTTTTTTTTCTAATATACTTTTAACAGTTCTAACAGAACAAGATAGTGCTGCCGCTCAGCAGTATGTCAGACAAGGAAGTCCTACAGCCCTGAGAGCCGAGCTGTGGGCTCTCATCCTGAATATCTCCAGCCACCCTGAGGTGAGGGGGAGGCGCCAGACCTGATGTCTGTGCCTCAAAGACCCGTGTTTCAAAGCAGAAATATTGTCTGTTAGCCTTTTATTTATCCCCGTTTAAATTTTCAAATCCACTGTAGTTTAGAGTTCTACGATAAGATTAATGTATAATGTAATCACTATGTATTTAACACAGATGTTTTTATTATTAATAATTAATTTGATAGTGTGAATCTATACATAAACAATAAGTGTAGGGTTGGCCAGAAAGTTCATTCAGGTTTTTCTGTAAGATCTTATAGAAAAACCCAATGACCGTTTTGGTCAACTCCATAAAATTTTAATAAGTGGAGTCCACAAGTTTAGGTCACTGAGGATGTATGGTGGAATTGGGAAATAGAATAGGGTGAGATAAAGATAGACTACTCAGTATATGTAAATGAGTACTTTGTCCCTACAGTTACTTTGAAAATATGCACCATTTTTATAGCTCTAAAAATTGACATTTTATGTGGGAATGTTATTTTCCTAAGTATAAGAACGTTTTATTTTAGGAAATAAAATGAAAATGAAGAGAAATCACCAACAGACAGGTAATAGATTCAATAAAGAAAAAATATGTAACACATTCTTTTCGAAATATTTTGAGAATTTTTTTTTTTGCTTAAGCCCATTGAGTCTACAAACCATTGATTTAAATATTGTAATAAATAGCAAACTAATAGTTACAGCAAACTAATGGTTCACTAGACAGTGGTTAAAAACATGGGTTTTCTTTGAAATCATACAACCTACTTTCAACTCCAAGCTCCCCCAACTTATTTGAAATAAGTTGCTGAGTGAGATAAATTTCTTCAAACCTCAACTTACCTATGCTTAAATATGGGTAATAATTTTTATATCACAGAGTGGTTGTGAGAATTAAATAAAATGTGAGTCTTTTATTAACACAGTCCCCGATATAACAGGCCACCACTAATGGTAGCAGTAATAATTATATATTGCATATAATTATAAATCAGTCATAATTGATAATATGTAATAATTCTATGCACATATATTATAATTATATATATACATATATTAAAATTACATATAATGGCAATATTAATAAATTAATCATATTGTATTAATCATACATTAATCATAATTTAAAATAATGCTGTTTTTAAGAAAATCAAACACTAACATAAGTATTATAAAAGCTATACCTCTGGCCTTTGCAGATTATGTATGTATGCTTGTGTGTGTGTGTGTGCATGCATGTATGTGTGTTTTAAATCTCCCTCTGTGAACAGCACTATCAAAAATCACTTGCTTTCTTTTTGAAAGAATAAGCTTTATGCTTTATTTTAGAGCAATTTTAAACCAAATGATACTGCTGATCTTTTGAGGTGACACTTTAAAAGTAACAGTTGACAAAACAGTTTAGAGTGTACTTTAGGCCTTTTTTTAGTGCATCAGCTCTTGTAAAAGAGGTGGTAATTCTTGTTCTGATCTAACTGTGTAGATCAGAGTTAGATCACCTACCAATTTCATCGACCAGCAGCTAAGTTAACAAGTCCTGTCTCTGCAGAGGAACTACTTCCCTCTCAAAAATAGATTTAGAATTTTTCCAGAAGTATCATTGTAGAATAAAAGTAGCAATCCCAAATAATGATTGTTTGTTACAACGTTCAACGGCTGTTTTTACACTTGCATTCTGGAGTTAATAATGATCTTGATTTTCTGTACTCAAAATGACAGATCTGTAAATAGAAATTAATATCAGAAAGGCAATCTTGATTTTATTGAATAAAACACTTTCTATACCTTACACTTTTATATTCACTGTAAAGGTGTTACCTGCACACACTACAGCAGCTCCAAAATAATTGTTGTAGGTGGTACATTAGAGGAGGGAGAGAGGGAGAATACTTCTTCTTACGAAGAATTCTTTTTTTTTTTTTTTACTAGGCAAAGAACTTTATTTATCTTTGTCTCAAACTTTATTCTTAGGCTTTTTCAGCTTCATTAGCTGCAAAGAATAAATTGTATATAAGCAAAAACTGAAAAGAGCTGCAGTGTCCAGGGGCTTAGGCTTAAAAATATTAGAGATCTAGATTTTATCAGATCCATAAACAAAATTTTAAAAAGCAGTCATAATATAAAATAGCAGCTCCCAGTAACTTCCTCAAGATTTATCTTCTTCAGAAGTTAATTCAATTCAGTTTGCTTCATTCTTGGAAGCCTCGTCAACATTCTCCACAAGATCTGGAACTTCATCATCATCCTCCTCTCCAGTGGCAAGTGGTGCTTTTCCATCCACGGACTGTTTGGGCAGAGCTTCAGCCAGTCTCCTTAAACTGGTCAGACTGTCGGCACCAAGCTGGTTTAAGATGCTGGGGAGCATTTCTGTCAGTTGCTTTGTCTCAGCGTGGCCTGTAATGGTGAAAGTGTTTGCTGCCAGAGATGCCTGAACTTTAGGGTTGTTAAAGTGGATCACTGTTCCTTGATTTGTGAACATATTCACCTCTTCAATACCAGAGATATTGTTTACCCCTAACTTCTTTAAAGAGAACTGAAGTTTTTTGTCATCTGCTGTGGCTGTTCTATGAACCACCTTCTTCTTTCTGCGAGCAGTTCCTTTCCCACCAATGCGCACTTGTGCCTGCAGTTTGGCGAGTTTCTCCTGGTTCATGATAGTTTCTTTCATCTTGTTGGAGCGGAAATGGGGCCGTGTGGGGGACTAGGGTTGGCACTCAGGTGGTCTCGGGCAGACCAGCTGAGGTTAGGCGCACACACGCGGGACGCAAGATGGCAGCTAGAGGGGACGAAGAATTCTTTATCAGAATGTTTTGTTCAGTTACTTTTCAGTCACTTAAAATAAGCTACACATGCAAATGTATCATAGTTAAGGAGATACATAAACAGAATATTTCAAATTTCACACCCACAAACCTGTTTTAAAAATCTTACCTCCTTAGAAAGACTTGGTATTTAATGCTTTCAGTTCCTAGCAGTTAGTTTATTTAATACTTTTATTAGAGAATTATTTAACTTTGATTTTTTTTCTCTTTTTAAGAAAATATGTGATAAGCTTAAAAGCATTGTCTTTATATATTTTCTATAGATTTCTGGATCAAAATACCCATATTTAGCAAACATTCATATTTAAATTTTTGCTTAATTTCAGCTTGCTAGTTAAAAGAAGATAGCAAATTTTCTTTTACTTTGCTCTAAGTTCTTACTTACTGATAAAATAGTTAAGATGAGTATTAACATTTACGATTTCCTTTAGTGATTTCACACCAAGGTTCTCCACAGCCTGACCTAAAGGTCTCCAGCAATGCCTGACCATCCTAGATCTTTCTGGTCACACTTACCTCATTTTCCCGGTGTCTGTTTCTGTCCTTCACTCTCCTCAACCACTTCTTTTCACAATCTTAGCAAAAGATATCACTTCCTCTTAACCAGAAAAAACATAAGTCATCAGAAGGAACTTATCCAAATTCTTTCCACGAAACCTGTGAACTTTATTGTGTCAGCACCCGTTCTTGCCTCCTCTACTTTTTTTTTTTTCCCCAGACCAACTTTTTATTGAGCTTATGCAGCTAACAGACTTGTAAACAGTGCCAACTGACAGAGGTTTGCTGAATATTACAGCTTGTGTCCACTAAACACACCTCTCTCTAAGATTAAAAACAAAAAACCAAAGTAAACAAATACTGAGAGAGAGGATGAAGTGACACATCTTGAGTCTTCCAGGAAGGCAAAGTAAGAAAACGCCACACGGCTTGGTCCCAGGCGTTCACTGTGCCTAGAGTGCTGCTGCTGCCACCAGTCTCCCCTCCCTGCCAGTGGCTGGGAAGAGGTGAGGGACAAGGGTCATTGTGGGCCTGCTGCAAATACAGCATTTGCTGGTGTTGACACCCTCTTTGGCTGTGGTGGCAGACTGCTGTGTCAGGAGCCCGTTTCCTGGGAGTAGCAGAGGAGCCCAGGTCCTCAAGATGGCCTGAGATGGCAGTTCATACACCTCAGCGGGGATCCCGTGCCCCTTTTCTCCAGAGCAGTTCAGCATTGAGGTCGTCTATCCCCAGTCGGCGATAAAACCTGAGTTGTTTTCCTTGCAGGTTCCCCCTCCCTTCCCCAACTTGGGGGGAGTAATGGGAGGGGATGGGAGAGGATCACTGAGGGGGCAGGGGGATCCCCCAGAGATCAGTGACCTGACCCTCTTGCAGGTTCTTCACCAGTTGTGCAAGCCAGCGTTTGGTGGTGGTGTCATCTTTTAGCACCTGGGCGAAGGTCGTATCCTTCAGCTGGTCAGGGAGGCACTGCCTGAGTGCTTCACGTGCCCTGGGGTTATCTGAGAGTCGAAGGTAACATCTTACTACGTGCTTCAGCAAACGGGCAGAAGGTTCTTTGGATAGCTGCAGGACCATCTTACCCAAGATCATCGCAACATGGGAGAAACGCTCATATGTCTGACATATATAAGCCAAACCAGTGTCATCTAAGAGGATCTTCTGGAGGATAAATGTGGCAACCGTTTTAGAAAGTTCACCTCCAGATTCCATAATTCGCAAACACAAAGGGATAATTTCTGTTGTCAATAGAAAGTTGATTACTTCCTGCTCATCTGTTTTCACCAGAGCCCCAATAACTCCAAGACTGGTTAGCCGAAGAGACTCAAAGGGTCGTGTTTTGCTGACAGTGTGCAAAAAGGGGTACAAAAAAAGTGGGATGTGTGCTGCAAGAAATGCTGACCTGGTTTCTGGATGTGATGCCACACATTGCAATAATGCTAGAGTATTGCAAACTCTGTTAGATTGGTGTGCTGTCAAGGTGGGTGGGTTGATTGATGGATAAATATTTACAATTTCCTGTAAAAGTGCTGCAATAGTACCAAATGAATGCCACAGCATGGGTGCAAGGTCAGGAACAGATTCTCGCTTCTTAACTCCAGCAAAGCATTTTCCCTCGTCTCAGGACTGGACAGCTCGTTGATCCACTGATAGATCTTTTCTCTATCCACCCGAGCCAGTG